CGAAAAAAAACAATTATCAAACTGCAGGTTTCTTGAATTTCCAAAAAATTGAAATGTTGATTAGGAGGTCGTCTACTTCAACTTACCTGTGGTCCAACTTACTGTTCTGCAGTTAGATTAGTATAGTCCGCGGCGCGAAGCGCCGCGTACACCTTCAATTTACATGCGGAAATACCTGCTTCCAGCGGCAGCGGGAAGCAACTTCGACTACATTTTTTTCCCTTTACGCTTACTTCTGCAAATTTCCTTCTCTGCCTATCTTATTTCCCCACCCCCCAAAACTATATAACCACCGTTTTCGCAGGACAACATGCTGGGACCATGGATATGTTAGTGGGGCTACATAAGCTACTTTTGCCGAGTATCGAATTAAGCACTGCCGCTATCAAGTTAAGAAGATAGACTCGAAAGTCTATTTAGTTTGGTGTAACTGTCAACTATGTTTCCTTTACAGGACAACCATTATATTTTCTGAGGATAGCAGTGAATAATAAATCAGTTTGCATCGTGGAAGTTTTAAATTCAGCTCTACTGAAAAAATATTGTAGTGCACCAGCATTCGAGACTACCTGTCGTAGGAAAATTCAGCCTTCTAATTATTCAAAAGATGTTACAAAATATAATTTGTCAACCTATATATTTGTCCACATCTTACAGCTAGCAAGCTGTATAATTTAGTAACGCGTGAAAGTACTTAATAATTCAGTCAAAAATATTGTTTTAAATCTAATTCTTAATAATTATGGCCGTTTATCACATTTGAAGATGTGCATAACAATTTGGAGAGTGCTGTCGCAACGCTGAAAGCAACACCTGTGTTCCAAGATGGCCTTCAAAATCAGGTGAGCAAAAGACTTAAAGATCTTTATTCGTTGAATTATTTTTAAAATAAAGTATATATGTCACACTCCTTACTTTGCCCAAATCTCGAGGTCCTTATGCATGCGCGAGTGCGAAGCAGCTGTCCTCTCACTAGATTACTCAAAATTGTTCTTCAAGGTAAATGAAGAAGATGTGCTGATACTGTCCCATGAAACAAACAAATATCAGCGTGCCAAGATGCCACCCACCATTCGAGACATATCTTGTTAATGGATCAAAATTTCCGTGTGTAGTAAGAATTGGATGAGGAGTTCATCTTATTTCTCATCAAGCACTCTTGCTTTGAAATCTGTCATATGGCAGAGTGGATACGAGGAAATGTGTGGCAAATCTTGAAAGGACGCTATACCATGTTTACGTCCACATCGGACTGGTTTAACTTTACATCACTACTAGAACGCAGTGCGGACGTGAAGTGAGAGAGGGATATCAACGTTACAATAAAAAGCTTAACGCACAAATGAGCACGACGCTAACCTTATGGTGCAGTGGTTACCTCGCCCATTTCGGCACATCAACTCTTGAATAGCCATATCGATCTTGGCGATAAGAGAGCAAAACATAGCACATTTTACATTGACAGGACCCATTAATACTTACCTTACCATGTCCAAGCATACTTTCC